TTTTGTGAGAGAATTTCACGATTGATTGAAAGAAGTATCTAGAAGATAGGAGCATGAACGAAAGAAGACGCATAAAAAGAGGAACGTGTTTGAATATAAATATGGTATTGTTCTATTTATATACATATATATTCATATTGGTATTACATACATGCATGATTTTATTGTATTATGTCGAATAAATTGAATATATCCCCTTTGACACTTCTTATATAAATGACAACTATTGAAAAGTGCTCATTTCCGTAGCAGTCTTTCTTTGTGCCTTGTAAAATGACAAGGTACGGTGGCATACAGCAGAAGAAAATCCCCGCGACTACTTAGCGAACCTGAGCGTTCAGATATTATTACCAACAATGCATTGTAGTCAGTCTTCTTTGCTTTAAAACAAACGCAATGCAATTTTCCTTATTAAAATAACACATTGAAGGATAGAAGAAGGTTATAAACGACTCACTAGACAATCAATCATATTGTATTCTAGCTAGAGTACCCGTCCCTTGGACGGAAGTTATGTAAAGTCATGATTAATGAAAGGTTATCTTAAGACAAGAAAAGATGCTTCCCTTATTTGTAATTGTAAAAAAAAAAACGCCCATAAAAACTGCAAAACACAAAACGTGAAAACGCAAGTTTGCATTATCTCCCCATGGACCTAATGAACCTCCAGACTAATTTTGGTGAAGATCCATCCACACCCTGCGAAGTAGTTACACGGACATACAACAGAAAACAGAGGAACTATTATATTTATATAGATATGCTCTGATTCCAGGGATTGGGTTGATTACACATTTTACATTTATTATTTATCATTATTTTTAGGAAAATTTAATTGTTTCAATAGGCATCTGTTACTTCTAATATAAATTTTATTGTGTAAGGTTTACTTCAGTAAACACGTGCTCCGCACTTCGGGGCGGGGAGTGTTGTTGGCAAGCTGCTGCCCCTTGTTGAAAATTAGGGATGGTTATGCACAGATGGCTCTTGTGTAACTTTGTGCGAAAATTCTTAAATAAAGAAACCAAATCGACTTAAAAATGAAATACAACACATTAACTCTTGTATTTTGGCACATACTGTAGAGTGGATGGATGATTATGAACATCCATGGTAGTGAGGTGTGAAAGAACATCCATGGTAGAGAGGTGTGAAAGAACATCCATGGTAGAGAGGTGTGAAAGAACATCCATGGTAGTGAGGTGTGAAAGAACATCCATGGTAGAGAGGTGTGAAAGAACATCCATGGTAGTGAGGTGTGAAAGAACATCCATGGTAGAGAGGTGTGAAAGAACATCCATGGTAGTGAGGTGTGAAAAATTTAATATACAAAATAAACCGGATGGAAAAGCGAACATTAAACTAATTAAATCACACTAGATATCATTCTGATATGACGAAATAATTTTTGATAAATACAATGTCATTTCTAGTTTAACTTTACGTCAAACCAATCGCGAGATGAGACACAAATTTTCATCCATTTTTGAATGACGTCACTTCTGGTGAGTGGAATGTTGCTCCTTATTATTAGTGTCTTAGCTATTGTCTAATGTATTTGTTCTGAGTTTCAGATTTTATTGTTCTACGTTAATCCATTCTTGAGAGTTAGTGTGACACAATCAACCACCTATACTTATAATGTGGTGCATGCAACCGAAATGACACATGTAAAGGCTATCATAGAATTGGTTTCTTGCCTGTCAACTACTGAATTTCATCTTTATAGGTTACGACAAATAAACTCATCTGCTATTAAATTATACGAACTGGTAGAAAAACAAAACATCAACTATTTACACATTTAAGGAACACACGCAAGGCTAAGAAAAGTATTGTTCATCTGAGGTATCATGGGAAATGTTCTGTGATGCTCCCTTGCAGTTTACGAGTTCTTTCGGGATAAATGACGGTCAAATGTTGAATAATAAGGTTGTTGAAAAATTATTAGTTGTTCAATAATTTCAAATGGCTTACGCCCGAGCTTCAGGAACGAACATAAAATATAGTGTACTATGTTAGTTGCTGTGAGACTCCTGTAAACATATTTTCTGTTGTTGTTTTTTCAACACAAACACATTATTTGCTTATATCAGTACATTCGACAAAAATAGTTACATTGTCCAAAGACAGTAATAACGATGCAACCCTATTCATCAACTAAACTAAAACAATTGATAAAGATAATGATAGTTACAGCTGAAAATATACCAAAACACACACACACACAAACGCACCATAAAATAAAATATGAGTATTCCTGGAGTTAATTGAACGATTATTGTGTTTGTTTGTTATTAAGCACAAAGCTACACAAAGGGCTATCTGTGCTCTGCCCACCATAGGTATCAAATCCAGTTTCTAGCAGTATAAGTCCGTAGACATACCACTGTGCTACTGGGGCCGATTATTGTGTTTGTTTGTTATTAAGCACAAAGCTACACAAAGGGCTATCTGTGCTCTGCCCACCATGGGTATCGAAATCCAGTTTCTAGCAGTATAAGTCCGTAGACATACCACTGTGCTACTGGGGCCGATTATTGTGACAAAAAAAGAAAAAGCTCCAAACAAAATCAGAGAAATAAAAATAAATTGATTTTGAGATCTAGTGCAAGTTTTTGGAGAGGGTTCAGTTATATGCTAGTATAGCACATATATAAACAAGCTTAGAAATTGGAGTGCACTCACATGCGTCACCATAATTGTTATTAAAATTTGTAAAATGCCTTTTAAAGGCTACAACATTAATTATAAAGTTAAGAAAAAATTATTACCTATTACAAGATTTCATAACTTATAAAGTTTAGTAATAAGTCATGTTTTGTTTACTTTTTTAAATGAAAGACAGTTTGTTTGTTTGTTTTTTGGAATTTCACGCAAAGCTACACGAGGGCTATCTGCGCTAGCCGTCCCTAATTTAGCAG